CCCTCTTCTGAGGCATATTCTCCACGTTTAAGATACGTTGTCGTGATGCTGTTTCAGGTAAATGGCAAAAAAAATAAAACAATAATTTAAAAAAACGAAACAAAAAAGGAGAGTTGGTCCGAAGCTCAATCCTGCAGTGTTAACTGTCGGCCGCATGTCGCTCTAATTCGATGTGTTCGTGTGTGTGCGTGCGTGTGTGTGTGTGTGTGTGTGCACGTGTATGTGCCCGAGAAAGGGGATGGAGGGGAGGGTGAAAAAAATAAACTCAGCGTAGGTGTGTTTGTATAAAAATGTGTTAATTGCGTGTAAAGAGACAACAACAACAAAAAAAAAATCAAAAATGAAGCGTGTATGTGTTCCTGTTTGTATGCACGTGTGTCGTGCGCGTGCGTATGTACCATTTTGTTCGTGTACTGAATCAGTACTTGCATTCAGCATGCCGTCTGAGCTGGGTATCACAGTTTGATAGGATTTTTTTCCACATGTTGATGATGTATGTATAAGTATATATGTACAGTTTGTATGTAAGAGACAAATGGTGAAACCTCAAAAGTTCGATTCGTTCTTCGATATCGCTGGATCCAGCCGCGGGGGGGGGAGGGGAGGGGACGGTGGGGGTCGTAAATCAGAAGAACCTTGTCTTGAGCCGGTCAGTCATTCCTCGCACACACATGTAACTGCTGCAAGAACTGGACACAGTGATGGAAAGACACTCAAATAAAGAAAAAATCTATATCTGTAAACGCGTCTCTGCTGCTTCTTTCTTGTTTTTGATTGTGTAATGACATTGATTTTTTTTTGGGAGGGGGGTAAACTACTGTAAATGTGCTTCAGTTGCTAATATTAGCTTTTACTGATTTCAGGTAACCATAGCAACAGTACTTTGTGGTACAGTTGAGCCCAAAATTCTGCATCCTCGTGCCAAATGTTTGATTTATGTTGGCTTTATGCTGGACGAATAGGTTTCTTCTGACTGGAAATTACACAAACGAGTAAGAGAAGATAATAAAATATTGTTTTAGAGATGTTAGCAATAAATTTAAACTACAGTCGTCCTCAAATGTATTCATACCCTCCCATTAAAGAAGGAAAAAAACAGCTGTCACTGAAATAAGCTGAAATTGACAAAAGTAATAATAAATACAAATTTAATGAAAATCATGACATTGCTTTTGAATTGTGGTTCAACAGAAATATCATGATGGGACCCGTAAACTAACATTTTATTGAACAACCCTTTGAGCCAATCACTGCAATCAAGTGTTTTCTGTAACTCTCAATCTGACTTCTGCACCTGTTGACAGGTATTTTCATTTTGGCCCACTGCTCATCAGCAAAGTGCTCTAATTTGTCCAGGACAGTTTTTTTTCTTTTTTTCTTTTTTTAAATTATTCTTTTCAACCACAATTCAAACGCAATGTCTTAATTCACTAAATTATAATTTAGCAATTTTTTATTTATTATTACTTTTTTCAGTTTCTAGTTATTTGAGTGCCTATTGTGAAATTTGAGGACAACTGTATTTAGGTTTTTTTTCCTCATCCTTATTGAAAAGGCCGTGTCCAAAAACTGTTCAGACCCTTGAAGTTGTTGCCCCCTTTTCAGAAAATGCATCTACAGTTGAAACCAGAAGTTTACATACACTGTATAAAAAGACGCATAACCTTTTTTTTTTTCTCACTGTCTGACATTAAATCAGACTAAACTTCTGTTTTAGGTCAGTTAGGACAGTGGTAAAAAATTTTGCAAATAGAAATAATTTTGGTAATCCTTGGTGACCTAAAACAGGAAAACTTTAGTCTAAATTAATGTCAAACAGCTAGAAAAAAAAAGGTTATATGTCTTTTTGTACAGTGTATGTAAACTTCTGGCTTCAACTGTATATCAGTCCAAACGTTCCTGTTAATTTGTACCATCTTTTAGAGCGTTCTAATACACTATAAATGTAGAGCAGGTGGTGTAGTGGTAACTCATGGCTTAAACCAAAGACCTTTGTGACAGTAAATAAAGAAAAAAACAAACTGATCACTAACGTCTTTAACACAATGTCTAATTATCTTTTGTCACTCGTTAATCTCATTTCCAACCAGAAAAAAACAACTGGTCAAGATTTACTGTCCAATCAAAGTTTGACGCATGTATGAATAATCTGGGGCTCAACTGTAAGTTGCCGACTAACTCCCTGTGATCAGACGGAGCTCAACCAGCATTTTACTGAATGCAAACACCCAGATGATGATCTGAGTGCTGCCTCTCTTCCCTCTGGGTATGTTTTAAGACTTACAAAAATACTCCGCTTTGCATAACGATTCACGTCTGGTACGTTCAAAATTACATTCTCCCTTGTTTAAAAATTCATCATCTATGAATATGAAAGTATTACTCATTTTAGGTTCTTGATCAGACTTCTGTACATTCGTGATTGGACTCCAGTCGCAGTGAAGTCGTCCTATGCATGTACATTCTGTGAAGTGTAGTGACTGATAAAGCAAGTTTTGAGTGGTTTTAACCTTCATCCCACCAAAGTATGTCACATACAGCAACACCATATTGTCAAGAATCAACTTCTGCAAGAAACAACCACCAACATATCCGAATATTGACGTACAATTAATGTCATCTGAAAAAAAAAAGATAATTTTAGGAAAATTACAGTAAATTCATATTGTCTAAAATAGAAAAAGTCACTTTTCTTAAATACAAATTGCAGCTTTTATCCTAAGAACAATCCATATTAATATTTCAAACTTTATTTTTTATCCGTTGATTCTTGTGTCTTTTCATTTTCAGTCACCTCAAGTAAATGTTGTTCACGCTGTGGTTATATATCTCAACATTTCAGCAACACCATATCTGGTTAGTTTCCATCTGCCAGCCATTGTTGATTAAAAACAGCAACATTGATATCATCCAAGACTATCCTACAGTAATATATTCTAGATTTATCTCAGTCAGACACATCTCAGGGCTCTAAAAAGAACAGGGCAAACCTCAAATCATTCTTCTTGGATCTCACTTTCTTTCCCTCTGCAACCTCAAAAATTTGTACTTTTAACATTTAAATTGATTGTGAGGAAACATTAATTACATTATTTGTTGTATTTCTGACTTTGAGCATCACTTTATTTTCGTGAGAGCAGTATTTAGAACACATGAGGAAATCTGTTCCCCCAGGAGCCCGACACATTTTTAATTTTTTTTTGTAAAGTACTAATTAAAGAGAACACAACGATATGAAGTCATTAGAAACAAATGGACAAAGAAAGAAAAAAACTGGAATGAAAGAGTAACGCACTCGATGTGACAAAGTAGAATGAGGGTTGTGTTTTTACCTTATAGGGGCATCAAGTAAATCTATGTATAGATTCTGAATGTGATCAGTTCCAGAATGAGCTCATGCTTGACATTTTGATGATTTTCTTTAGACGAGTTGACGATAAAACTGCAGGTGGCAGACGGGAACTTCCTCACCACTGAGATTTAAAGTCCTTTTCTACTCATCCTCTTCGATTTGCATTTCTTACTGCATATAATGTTAATATATTTTTAAGCCTGTTTCACTTGTTATGTTGGAAAAGCGACTCGCCGATGTCTCCAGAGTGAGAGTTGCGAGCTTAGACGTGCAATTATTATCTTTCTGTGACTGTAGCTTTCTGAAGGCACGTCTTATGGAATTTGGACTTATACGCCAAGCTGACAGTTGGCAGTCAAATAACACTGAGCCATGTTTGGCATTGGCACCGTTCAGTCCTAATCACGGCAGTTTGGCTGCTTGAATCATTGGCACTCTGCAAGAAAGAGCAGCGAAACTTTACATACATTATACATACATTATAGACACCACAGTATGTTCTCAGTGACCTCAGTTTAATTACATTCACACTGTCAGGAAGCAGAGCAGCAACAACAACAACAAAAAGCAGAAATCATGTTCAACATGAAGAAAAATGAAGCAAAGCGTCGATCAGTCTTCGCCAGTGTTTCTGTCAGAGCCTGAGCATTGCTGCCTTTCAGATGACCTTGGAAGAGTTTGCAGGTCATGGGTCCGTTCAGGATCTTACTATACACCAATCAGCCACAACAATCAAACCACCATAACATTTAGAATCTCATTACAATGTGCAAACACTTCTTTCATGACACCCTAAAGCAATAAGTAGGGATGATCTGATCAGATGTCAAAGATTGGGATCGGGGCTGATCAAGGCATTTTTTTACTTGATCCATATTAGCAGAACCCTTAGCCAGATCCTTTGTTTGCGTCTTCCCGTCACACAGGAGTTTTTACGGGAGAGCACAGTTTGTGGCGGGACCTCAGCAATGCAAATTTTATATAATTTATTTAAATCAATGATCAGAAGCTGTCAATGTCTAATGGATCCATAGGTAGCACAAATTCAGCATAGTGGATATTTCTCTTTTGCTGTTTCAGTTAAGGGATATTTGATCTGAACCACAGAATCAGCTCTGTTACATTTACCACTGAGATGTAGGAACAATGCCTGAGTTGATTCTGGCTTTCTTAAAATATATGAGCGTTGTCAGAGCCCATTAGGCATCCAAGAAGTCTTTGTCATGGTGCTCGTGCGAGTTAAACCCCCACAATACGCTCTGCTTGCCAATATGGAACTGCCCCTATTCAAGGTGACCACATTCTCGGGTTGCTAACGATAAGAGGCTCCACTTAAAGACAGTGACCCAGCAGGGCTTCACAACAAGGTTTGTGACCACCTGCAGCATTACCAGCTTGGATGCAGCTCTGAAGAACTTTTCAGTTGTCAAGTGTGGTTTGGAGTGATTTTGTTAACGTGAGACAGAGGTTGATACTTAACATTAAATTACTCAGACTGAGGGATAAAACTTAATCAGGAGATCCCTCCCACAGCAGTGAGACAATGAAAAAATGGCTTGAGTGACATGACAAAGAGTCCAAGGCATTGACACAGCCTCCCAATCCGATCAAGCATTCACAGGATCCATCAGAACAAAACCGATCCATTGAGGCCCCACCCCAAAACTCACAGAAGCCACCGACAATGGTCTGGTGTTAGACTCCACACAACACTCCTTAAGGTCCTGTGTTCATGCCCCGGTGGGTCAGAGCGGATTTAGCAGCACGAGTTGGACCAACACAATAATAGGCGTGTGGTTTTCATGCTGTGGCTGATCAGTGTATGTACATATTTTCAGTGATACCTCACACACTTCAAATACAGCAGGGACACAACTGGACCCTCATGAGACACAAGGTTCCCCATTTTCTCAACATGCCTTCATCTGGGGGTAGAGGTGGAGGGTTTTTCTAAACTTGTGCTATTAATACTAATTCTTGCTTATGTATTTCTGCTGTAGTTGCCAATTGAACAGTTAATAGGGGTTGTACATTACCATGCAACCCTTCTTGTAAGTTTTCCAATCTAAATAGTTACCTTTTTGCTGTATCTGCTGGATTTTTGTTGAAAAAACAATCAAACAACAAAAAAAAGGCTGACAAGTATCTCTGATGCACCAGAGACACATTTATCCATTCCAGTATGCCTGTGAGACACTTCAAGAGAGCACGAATGGACATCATCCCACTGCTGCGCCCTCCTGGACCTTCTGTCCAGAGGTGTGGAGGCTCCCCTCCGGCCAGAGGGGACCCCCGTTTTGGTTTTGGGCTCTTTGCAGAACAGCTGGCTGGTTGACCAAGAAAGGTGCTCTCTGTTGCCTGTTGTTGCCCTGGCCCAGAGCTTTAAGATCGGGGAAACAGTGGA